GGTTACGCTGTTGGTTGACTTCTTACTTTCAGACAAATGCATTTTGAGCAAAATCACCAGGTAACCTGAAAAGGGAATCACTACGCATGAGCAGCATCTTTCAACAGTTCCTTCTTTGAAATGTGATAATCATACATAGAAATCTTACAGTGCATCTGAAATACAGCACCTGGTATGGGATAGTGGCCATCCATGTAAAAAGAGCTACTTGCACTGCAATGAAATACTTAGAGCTCTTCAGGATGAAATGAAGTATGGGTTACTGAGCTAATAACACCTTGAAAACATCAACAGGCTCCATCTCGGAGAAAGTAATAGGTGGGAGAACAAGACAGACCTGGCATTAATAAGTTTCCAGTAGTCACTGGACCAGAAAGTAACTGAGTCCGCGTCTATCACCAGGTACGAATCTGAACGAGCATGAAGTCCTGTGGGGAAAGGGAGAGGAACTCATCTCAATCCTATGGTTTCTGCAACAGAAGGTGTTTCTCCCTCAGCAGTCAGAAAAGCTGCATAGAAGCAGAACTTCCAGATATAACTATGTACGCCTCCTCCTGTGTTTTGACCACAACAGGTGTTTGCAGGGTTTGGGCACTGATTTCCAGGGAGGCACCTTCAGTGGTCATCTGTCCATGCAGGGCAAGGCAGCCAGCTCCTTCTCCTGGGGCTCCTACTCAAACCAGGCAGGCAAGCCCAAAGGCCAAGCTTTCTAGAAGCTCCTCTGCACTCAGCTCGTACTTGCAGCTTGGTAAGGGCCTCGGATCAGAGCTGCTCAGAAGAGTGTCTGCTCCAAAGCCCTTACAAATGTGCCAAACATGAGAGCTGATAACAAGGTCTGGAGAAACTGAATGGTGCAGTAAGGATAAACAGAAAGGGTTTTGCAGTTTAAGGGCTCCCAAATATTCGAAGTAACACTTACTACACAACTTAATCGAACCGGTAGTGCAGACGTGTCATCCATTTTTCCCACTGTCCCACTAGAAACTGAGGATTAAAACCTCATCTTCTCCCAACTATTTCTGACTTTTACAAGGAACACTTCAAACAAGCCACTGCGATACAACAGCAATGGGGCCTCCAGAAACCCTCTTGGGAACACTTCCACGCAATATGACCACCATGAGCATTACAGCCTGGCTTGCTAACACAGCTGCACAAAAACCCGTTTAACTGGGTAGGTCGGTGCTTTTTTTTTTCAGTTCTGGAGTCTGGCACAGACCGTAATTTCAGTAACAAGTTCAAGGACACAGAAGGGAAATAGCTGTAACCTATCATGGATACATAAACCAAGGCAGGAAAGTAAGCAGCTTGCCAAATAGCTATTATGCCTATGAACCTTAAAGAGCAGGATTACAAAATTCTAGTCACTGAAAGATTGCTTTCTAAAAAGAAGCTTACCAAAAAAAAAATAAAAATCCCAGGTAGTTCAATAGTAGTTTATTAGATCAGCAATTTGTATCACCACTTTCTAAAAATGATTACAAAGCATATTAAAATATATTACAGTATCTGCAAGGAATTTATTGTGTAATAAAAGTGCAACAATAATGAACTTACAACTTTGTTTGCCTAGCTGGACAAACTGAAACACACTGCGCAGATCAAGCCTTTGCTCAAAAATTAGAGTGCCTTTGAAGTGAAAAAACAGTATTTAACAAAAATATTCCAAGAAGTGAGCACATGAAGTAGAAAACCAAGTTCATGTTCATTTTCTCAGTGCTAAGTTATACAGAAACCATCAAACCGTACAAACTCTGCTTGAATTCTGACAATCTACAGAGCCATCAAAGTGAGTGCATGTTGTGAAAGGAAGGAAGTGAGAAGAAGAGGGCACATTTCAAGTACTGGGGGAGAACGTCCTTGTTGAAAGTCAGGGACCAGGCATTGCTGCTTTGACACCAGGTTCCACGCAAATCCATACCATCCCCAGCTAACAACTGGGGACCTAAAAACTCACCATTTTCCAGCTGTTACAGCTTTTAAAAGGCTCTCGCTGTCCTGTAGTGTGGTTATGAGAGGTAGCCTCAAATTTCCTGATCCTATCTACAACAGAATTCTAATAAATTTCCACGGGTGCAGAATCAGCATTGGGAATTACAACTGTCACAGAGTAACTGAAGAGGTAAAAGCAGCAGTGTCTGCTTCAGTTTGTGGCAGCGGACTACACTAGCAGGCAGGAATTTCACAGGATGAATTACTGGCAGTTTTGAACGGTCTCACAGGGAGTATAATCAAAATTCTAGGTATGAAAGAGCCAATGAATCCAACATCTGAGGTCTTATTTTCCACAGATATTAGTAATAGTCAAACTGAACTCCATACTGCTGTTCCCACAATCAATTTAGAGCACAATTTCAAGAGAGAAGGTAATCCTGCTCACTCAGGATCTCTTCAAAAGAGATACCTTCTCCTAAGCAACAGCAACCTACTATATCAGTTTAGCTGTGCAAGAAGCTGTTGTTTGAAGTCCATATGAAACGTATTTTATTCCTGTCAACTAGGTATGATGCCAGAAATACATTTATGAGTGTAGTTCTGCATGCTCATTCTGAAACACTTCCTTTCCTCCAGATAAACAGATAAAATCCATCTCTACTTCTAGACATGCTTCATGCATTCTCCTTTCAAAGTCTAAAGGAAAACAAAGCAAAACCTTTCAAACCCAGCTAGACAAAATATTTTAACACATCAAAATGGCACACTTCAGTTTGTCTCTCCTAAGCCCTACCTAGCATGCTCCTAGAGAGACTGCAGAAAAGGCTGTGTTCTCCATTTTACTACCAATAAATCTAGATAAATAAAATAAAATCGCTGAAAAACTATCCTGCTCCTCTCACTGAAGGAGGGTATTTCTACTGGTATGGGATCACACGGCTCCAACGCAATTTGGAGCATCACCCCTGGAAGCTACACGCAGTGGGAACTCAAACCACCCTCAGAATCCTGCGCTGTTCATGAGCAAGGTAAGGCAGAGTCGGAAGATCAGCAGCTTCTCAGATCTTCTAAGCTTTGCCCACACTACAGTAGTCACAATATGCAAACTTGCTTTCTTTCTCCTGGTGGCTTCCTTACCAAGCTAGTCAGGTTGGTCATTAGTGTATGAATTTGTTACTGACTGCAGGCAGCACACACAAACAAGCACACATTATTACTTCCACAGCCCTTTTTTTTAACAACTGCAATGTCTACAGACTGCTTTTTATTCAATCAAAAATAAATTACATAGAAAATCAGTTACTCTGCAGATGTACAGTCACACAGGTCGACTCATGGTTGAGTTTCACAGCTCTACTAAAGTGCACAGCAATGTACTTCAGCTAATTTGGCTCTGACTTTAGGTCTAATAGAAATAAAGTTGGTACGCTTAAATGGTAAGAGAAAAACCTAAGACTTTTTAAAAAGCAAGCGGATTCTCAAGAATGATTCAACTAGGCCAGGGTATCTTTGATGCAGACTCAGAAGCCTGGCAAGGTAAAGGTGTTCTTCCGCCATTACCTACTCAGAAGGCACTACTGCCACTATTCACTGAGACTAAAAAAAAAAAGTGCTCAAAACTACAGTACTTTTGATGTGTAAGGTATTTCATACTACGAATGGAATACAAGTCAATTCCTGCTCTATGCATAGAGCAAAACTGACTGCCAAGTCTGATTTCAGAAAAGAGCTGGCCCTCCCTGAAAGACTCAAGTTCACAGGGCCAAAAATTTGCATTCCTTTTAAGGTACTGATAAAAACCAGTTGAAAGCAGTCAATATGTCCAGCTTTGATTGTTTTGTTAGATAAATGAATGCTTATTATGCATCCACCCCTTTCCTGGACTGTTTTCAGCAAAAGAATACAATCTGGAGGGATCCAGCCTGTCATTTATTGCAGTCAGTGTAAAGATTCCTGTTACCTTCCTCAGCAATCAAATCTGCAACCATGGGGATCGAATTTTGCGGTTGTCAGCTACATGTTGGCGAAAGAAAGAGTTAAAAACTTTTCTTAAAAATATATAAAAAAAATATAAAGAAATAACTATAATTACCTGTAAATAGAAATTAAATACCAATGAAAATATCCCGAGACAATTCGATGTGCTTTGAAGAAGTTGACTTTGAGCAATGCACCTTTTCCTAACAGAAAGCGAAGCTTGATTTCAATGGAAACACGATTTCTTTATTTTTTAGCTTATGAAAACATTCTGCTGTCACTTTGAACAGTTCGGGAATTTGTTGTCTGCAGAGCAGCTAAACTGAAACCTCAAAAGAAACTGCAAGTCCAAGGAACAAAGGAGATTCAGTCCTTCTAATGATAATACTGAGTATACAGTGTTGTATAAAACTGAAGTAGTTCTTCAGATAACAAGACACAATGATGACAGATATTCATTTTAAAATTTTGTGGTCCGAGCTATAATCAGTAAAGTTTTAAAACTAAGTCTTCTCCTATTCTGAGCACTTAAAAGTCTCCCCACTAGTCTTCTCTCTTTTTCTAACCTCCTATTCAATAATAAAATGAACAAAAATAAAATTTCCTTTTATATCAGCGTTTTCTTAAACTGCAGAGATGCTGACATTCACGTGATGCCTAAATTATGGTTTTAGCATAGAAAACACTACTTGTATAGGCAGGTGAATTTAACATTTACGGCTTCCTTGCACTATTTAGTATCATTTGGAGAAACTTGCTGTTGATAAATATTTAGGTTTGGTGAAGGTCGGTGTGTATTTTAAAACATGGTCTTTCCTGCTTTATGGTTGTAAAGGCAGCAAGACACAGAAGCAGGACTGCAAAAACATTTTCACCTTATGATAGATCTATACAAGGCACTTGTGATAAGCATGTCTGAGTGAGGGTCAGCAGGGACAGCTACACAAATGTTTCCCTGCTGCCACGCTTCTAATTCCAGTAACCTGCACGAAATGTGCTGTGAGGCTTAAGGGTCTAAGCTTAACTTCAAATTTTGGTGGTTTCAACAAGTTTGCTTCAAGATTTCTTCATTCTTCCTCCTGTATTTTTCACTCTGCTGTCTGGAAAGGTTTCCTGTGAGATGGTGGCACGAGGTGGGCAGGCAGCGTGCCGGGCAGTTCATACCCATCCAGCTTAATCTTGATAAGATGTTTTGCCAATGCGAACTCCTCATCATCTAACATCCCATCACCGTCGCAGTCTGAAAGTTTCCAGATCTTCCCCAAAACACTGTTGGGTAGTTTAGATGTCACCATCTCCTTCTTTGCACTAATCCCAGATATCTTGCCATTGATGGGTGAGAGAGTGTAGAAAATCTCATCATAAGCAGGTTTATCTTTGGCAACAACCCACTCGTCTTCATCAGCTCCTTCCTTAGCACCTTCTCCGTATCCATGACCAAAAGGTCCTGCCATGGTGCCATCAAACGCTCCACCTTGTACGATCTCTGTGGGCATATTGCTCTCTTCTTGTCTGATCAGGTTCATCAGGGAGGCAATTTTGTTGGCCAGCATGTTATCCACAGCTTCAATCAGCTTTGGTTTCAAAGAATGAAATTTAGTGAAGTCACAAGTCTCCAACTGTTCCTGTCAATGACAAAGGTTTCAATGACAGTAGTTAGAAACGTTTCCAACATAGTGAAGAGGTTAAAGGACGGGCTTGGAATTAAAATAATCTGCGAGGCGCATTTTCCATAACTGAAACTCCTCTTGGAAGATGCAAAGCTGACACATATGCACCACATACCTAACATATTGATCAAACACACCAAGACAATTTTGCAACAGTGTATGAGCTCATCTACTAAATTACGTTTGCAATACAATTTTCAAAAAGGCAACGCATAGAAACATGACAGTTGATGAATACTACCCAACAACCTCCAAATGGTGATTTTCTTCCAAACATCAAAGAAAGCAAGCAAGTCCTCACTCCTGCTAGCACTTATGCAAGTATTTAAAGTAAAAAATAAATCAAAGAGTTTGCAAGACTGATCTGATTTTACAGATTAAACTTCGTGTTTGTGGTTAGGTCATGAACAAGTGTCCTTTAGCAATGAAGAAAAACTGAGATGGGATGATAGCAGTGTTTTTATAGAAATGCTGCAAAAAATCATGAGGTCATATGGTCCCTGTTGAGTTTTGTACATAAGCTCCTATTAACTTTAGTGAGATGTTTAACTAGGTGATATGTGCTACTCCAACACAAGTCCAAGCATGTTTACACCAGTGTGCTGGAAATTCAAAAATGCTTTAGGCAATTATTACATGATCTCTACATGCAAAATGCTAGCTGAGAAGAGACAGTTACAGTGGCAACTGTTAAAAACACCCAATTGAACAACCTCTCCCTTCCCAAACTCCTCTCAAGACGGTGCTAAACTGCTTTAAATTACATCTATCACCTCAGGGAGCTGCTCCCATCCATATCAGAGCTATAACTACATGAACCCAAGGAACTGGAAGCACACGCAAGCAGCACGGAACTTTAGATTTCATAGAGGAAAAAATGCCATCCAACAACCACCACTCTGTTCAGATGACATTTATACACAGTCACCTGTTTTACAGCAACTGATCAGTACAAGTTCATGATATGCAATAAATCTCAGAAAGCAAGGTCAAACCTGCAATCTGTTTTGACACAATTTTGTTTTCTCAAACTTCTGCTTCTCACTACAGAAATGACTGATCTCTCATGTTCATATTTGCTGCTATCTGCTGCTGAGGCTTAATGATATGGACTATTAGCTTGACAAAGTTCTGTTGGAATTTTGTTTCAACATTCAAAGTAACAAGTCATCGGTTCTCATTTCACATCACCAACAGAAGTGGCACGGGAAGAAAGAGTCAACTTTTTCCACACAACCCTCTTTTAAAGCCTAACTCATAAAACCCTTCCAACAATCCTGCCTGTGAAAACCTGGCTGAAACAGCTCCTGTGCTTCATCTATAATTTACAGTCTCATACCAATAATTGATTCTCAAGATAAATATTTTAGTTCATAAAGGAAGCTTGTGCATCCCTACAGACAGGTTAACCAGTCATCCCTCTTTATGATTAGCAGTGTAAGTGTACCACATAAATTGTCAGAACAATAAACAAGTGTCAATCTGGAAAACGTCCTCCATCACTCTCACGACTAGCCCACGGTCAGACCAAACCACAGGCGTCCTGACCTCACATTCTTCAGCTTCTAATCTGAATTGTCTTCCAATTCAAAGGCTGTTTAAGAAGCCTACGATCTGAGAGCCAAAAGTTGCGAATTGAGGCATAAATTGAAAAGCACTGCTAACACAGCATTAGCTGTTCTTCCCTAGGATACTCTCCAAGCAACTCGCCTCAAATCAGAGAACAGAAACGAAAAGATAGAAAGTGACGGAAAGCTGGTAGTAAGATGGCACGAAGTTTAAAACAGGAACAAGAGACAAAAAGTATTCAAAAAGGGACAGCAAGACTATAAATTGAGAACTACTCTCTTCAGAGAATATGAATGCAAGAGTACAAGAAAAAACTGAAAGGCATCCTTTTCAGAGGTTTAAGTTGGACTTTTCAGGTAACACATTGCCTTTATTAGTTACTGGTAAACAGAGCAGGCTAAAAGAGAACAATATGCAGCTGAGGATACCTTCACCCATACAAGTATATGATCCCATTAAAAAAGTGATATAAATACCCACAACTAGGACAAAAAACAAAAAACACCTTAATCCCCAAGTATACACTGCCATTTTATTTGCACAAAACCTTTATTATCATCTGCTCTCAGGGACCAAATACTGACTTAAAGGACAGAAGGGTCTGATTCCTTACAGCAGTTTCTATAGTCCTGTGTATTAGTGGATGCACACTAAGCAAGTTACCAATTTTTTGTTCTGTACTGCTTCCAAGTCTTGCTACCCCTGTAACAGACACACGACTGACTGTCACTCCTTCCAAAACTGTAATGCCAGGACACTCTGTCCTACCTTCTCCAATTTGGCAATCCTGTTGGAAAGTCAATATTATCTCAGTAGGACTGTAATCTACCATCTTACCTGCATTTTCTTGACTTCAGGGAAGTCCCCTGCTGAGATATGGTATTCCCTTTGCAGCTGAAGGTAGATCTCTGGCAATCTGTTGATCAGTTCCTTCTTCTTGTTCTCTTTTCCAAATACAGAGGGCATTTCTTTTTTTAGATAGCTGATGATATAAGCATGGACCTAAGAAGAAGCAAAACTGAAATCAGACTACCGCTTATCTACAATTAACGCCAGTGTTCTTCACCCAGGTCATAAAAAGAAACAGAAGAAATGTGCTTCCCTAAACTGTTCCTGTTTACAGGAAAAGCTAGCTGATAACTGCCCATGCTTTCAGCACTCCCTTGGGGGGCAGAGAGAAATTAAACACATTCAAAAGAAGCAGCTGGAAGCTCTCGGTGTTCTATCAGTATCAACAGCAAGAGAAAAAGCAAGGCCTCCAAGATCACGTCCTGACACTACGTGCACGGATCGTACACGGAGCACCAGTCACACTGGCCCACCTGTCTCAGCGGCAGAGATCTGTAACTCCACTTGCCTCACCAATTAGCCAGCAGGATAATGCTCAGTGTTGGGTAATCCGTGTCTGCTAAGCAGCAGGGCTATCTAATTGAAGTGACACTCATTCCTACCTACTTAGTCCCAGAAAAGTAAGTACCTACAGCCACCAGACGATGACAGAGTAGTTCATCTACTCTAAGAGCAGCGCACCATGGCTGCCTTGCAAAGACTTACAGAAAAAAGCCAAGCCTTCGCAGCACATAAGGAAAGGCATTAATTTAGGATGCTAAGTCCTAAAACACATCGACACCTGCAGAGTTCTTAGTGTTTCCCATCTGCTGTGATCAAGATAATCCAGTAGTATCACCAGAACATCCATCCTGCCCACGTGCCCTCCTTCCACCCTTACCCTGAACCGTTCTTCTCTTCCCCCTCCCACCAGGTTTCACCATCAAAAGGATGTGCTTGGCCACACAGCGAGTGACCTGGTCCAGGACAGAAACAGTGGTGGCACTTCTTAACTGAGGTGAGTTCACTTATATTGTGTGGACGCTGATACTCCTTCTGTACATGAGAGGGAAGCACAAGAGCAGCCCTCTTTTAGAAGCAATACACATCTGTCACAATTGGATGTAATCACACTGCTTTTCTACAATCTGATGCAGGCAGGACCACTGATGTCAAATGACCTCCACAACCAGATAAATCTTCACAGAACTCACATCCTTCTTCGTTGAAAAAGGATGTAACTGTTCCCGAAACAGAAGTTATTTGCAGAATCACAGAGGTTGGAAGGGACCTCTGAAGATCATCTAGTCCAGCCCCCCTGCCAGAGCAGGATCCCCTACAGTAGGTCACACAGGAACACGTCCAGGCGGGTTTTAATGTCTCCAGAGAAGGAGACTCCACAACCTCCCTGGCAAGCCTGTGCCAGGGCTCTGTCACCCTCACAGTAAAGAAGTTTCTCCTTCTGTTTAGGTTGAAGCTCCTGTTTGTGATCATTGCCCTGTCACTGGGCACCAAAATTTTCACAAATACAGGAAAAAAAAAAAAAAAAAGACAAAATAAGAATATCTATCAAACCACTGCACAATAAAACAGTGAAATTTTGAAGACTGAGGGAAGACAGACTACCACAAACAAGGATCAGTAAAAAACTGACAGTGAGAAAACTGATCGGTGAGACCCTGGCACAGGTTGCCCAGACAAGCCGTGGATGCCTCATCCCTGGAGGTGTTCAAGGCCAGGTTGGATGAAGCTTTGAGCAACCTGGTCTGGTGGGAAGTGTCCGTGCCCAGGACAGAACTAGATGGTTTTGAACGTGCCTTCCAACGCAAGCCATTCTATGATTCTATCACTCCATTCTATAAAAAGAAGTGATTACATCGGTGTGGTGTAAGTATACTAAATACCTACCAAAACATAGCAGAATGTGCCTTCAAGTATTCTGTACAAAGCTTAACACAATCTGTACAGGGGAAGTGCTCTCCCACTCCTTTCCTTACTTATTTACAAGGTTTACAGGAAACTGGGAAAAAAACCACCCTTTGTATTTAAAGAAAAATGGTGTGACCAGCTTTTTTTTTAATACGTCTTAGGTTCATAACTTTCACACAATATCACTTCCTTAAATCTAAAAAGGGTGCATACATTTAAACTGCACATAAAGTTAAATTTCTCTAGAGGAGAAAAAAAACTAATCAGCATAAAGAATCAGTTTCTGCATAAACCCATGAAGTTTTCTAATATGGTAGATTCAAGTATTTCTCCAGAATGACAGAGCTGATTCAATAACACTATATCTAAGAGAGTTCATAAGCAAGTGTAAATAATTTTATGGATCTTACATTTACAATAACACTTCTAGCAAAACCAGAAAAGTGTGTTTATAGCTCACAAGCATTAACAGTTTCGCATGTGTATGCTAAGTGCTCTGAGGTATGCCAGTACGCACATGTGTTTCTTGTAGATAAGAAAATAAGACAGTGAGTCACAGTACTTAAAAAAAAGCCTAATGCCCAAAATTTTTAATGCAAGTTAACAGTTTGCTTTCATTTTTGGTTACTGTACATGTTTTAGAAGGTATTAATAATTGAGTAGCATGGAAATAGGACAAAAAAAATACCATGTAATGCCATAAAAAAATTATTTTTGAGTGTCAGCATTTTAAACTCTTTTTGGAAGACAAAAAGGCAACACCTGAGAGATTACACTGCAGCTTTCCTGCAGATAAACAGTTTATTCCCCTTCCATAACTGTCTAACTAGCACACCCTATAAGCATAATATTTTGTGTTCACCTTTGTCCGTTTTTATTTTACATTACATAGAAACACCTAAGGATGATCCATCTGACACTTTTCCACTACCAAAATGACTGTAACAAGTGAAAGCAGGAAGTTGCCAACAACATCCACAAAACAGATCGCAGCAACTTTTAATACAACATCATCCAGAGCATGACTTAAAATGCAGTTTTCAAAGAAGCAACTGCTATGGGGTGCCCTAAAGCTCAGGCTCTAAGTGTGTCATTATATTCAGAGAGCTAATTCAGCCAACATAGAAAGTGCTATACACCCCCCCACAACTATTCTTATATCTGTGTAAAGTGTGAGTGCTCTTCATTTCTGCTTAGAAGTCCACATGAAAATGTGTTTCAAGACATCGCGTTAACTCAACTCATTTTCTGCTTGATAACTACATAGGAAATCAGAATTTCTGCCTGGCACCACCAGCCTTCTCCCCAAGTATTTCTGAGGACAATTTTCCCTTTT